CTGCTGGTAGCCACAGCCCAATTATTTTGATTCCTGAAACTTGGACTTATTTTTCATATTCTGTATGTTGTGGACAGATTGGAGAAAAATAGTTCTTGAAATCCAAATATTTTGTTCTTAGATACAGGAAGATTTCAGACATGGTCTAAAACAATAATCATCAGAATTTATATCAACCACAGGTTGCATACCATTATGGCAGAAGAAAGAAGGAATCACATCTCTCTATATAGGATGTATGAAAATTCATTCATTTATTGATAAATATTTATTGTGATAACTATTATGTGATAAGTGCTTAAAGTACTAAAGATACAGCACTGAAAAAAAAAGCAATAATGCAGGAGTAAAGCAAAGCAATAATTCTGCTCCTGAGTTTGTAGCCATGTGAGGGAGACAGAAAACACACAGGGTAAAGAAGGAGAGGTGGTCCAGGAAGAGGTTCCTGGTTAGGTGACATCAGTAGAGAATCTCTAACTGGAGAATTTGGATTGTCTTCCTTCCTCCCTCCATCCCTACCTACCTATCCCTCTTCCCTCTTTTGTTCCTTTCTTTCCTCTTTTCTTTACTTTTTTTTTTCTCATTTAGAATTATACAGTCCTCTTTCTCTTTCTCTTTCTAATCTCCAGGTAAATAAGAATATTCAGAGCACAGTTCTTTGCAGATTGACTGCAGAACACATACCTACAAGACTTTGGCATTCTTCCCATGTTTGCCAGCATAACCAAATTTTGTAAATATAAAGACATATAAATAGGATCTTTATATATGGCAAGCAGATTCACTCAGAGTTTGGGATCGAACTTCCTTAACAATATACACTTTGCTAAGCTTAAAAGCTTTTGTGCTACTCTTCCTAAAACTGCTTTTACATTATTCTATATCTCTTGTTCACTTCAGGAGAAAGGTTGTTTTTAGTATTTTTTTTCTTCTCTTTACACTTGTGAAGGTGACTGTTTGCCTTTGGCAAACTTTATCCTATTAGTCTTTGTAGCCTGCTTTAATGAGCATCACCTCTCACCTTTGGCTTCTGTAGCTCAGATACTTTATTCTGAGTCCTGTTTTCATGTAAAAAATGACACAGTGTAAATGAAATTATAGTTATAGAACCATATACAGAAAATGTATGTAAATAAATATTTATTTCAAAGAAGATGAGCATGTGATGTTATTTTTATTTGGTGCATCTGAGATATACTTTGGTAATAAGTTCTATGATCCTACCTTCTTTCCAAAATGCCAATGTAGAATCTTCCCTTTATCCTCTTTCCTAAAAGTAATAATGATTACTAACCTGACAACTAATAGACAAAAGTTGATTGCCACTTCCTAATAATGACATTTCATAATATGGAATCAATTGTTCTCTGAACAAGTCACTTAAGTGAATGTCAAATATAGAAGTATTATGACCTGAAATAGGATTGTCTGATTATTTTTCCACTAAAGGCTTTAGATTGAATTAGGATATCTAAATTCAATCAAAGGTGGTTTCTTTAGACCAGGGAACTTCACAGACCTTGATGGTAGAAAAAAAGCAAAAAGCAAATTACCAAAATCACAGATAATATAAAATATTAATTGTCGATGCTTCTCTTTAAATGTTTATCTGAAATCTAAGATCCTCCAGGTAATATGATATGTTCACAAAATATTTTTTTAACATTTTAAAAGATTACCTCAAAAAAAGAGAAATGCTAGGTGTAGCTGCATATTTGAAACAGCAGTGCCATCTTGTGACACATACACATATCAGTATAATTCCGCTTCATATTTCCTGACTATTGACCTGTAACAGAAAAAATAAGATAAATAATATACTTTTATTTTATAACACTTAAAAATTATTTTAAAAGAAAAAGTGGAAATTTTAATTTATTAACTGTTAGACTGACAATCATCAACATCTTGAGAATGTTTCCTGATGCTTTATAAAAATTTGTGAAAGAAATGGTCCTTAGTTTTCCCAATTGCTATTGAGAATCACAATAAAATAGAAAAGACTGACAAAACCAGCATAATGGTATAAACATTGAACAAGTAAGAGCTAAATAGGAAAGGTAGCAGAATATAACAGTTACTAATAGGGCATTATGTAAAAATGTGGATGTGTAACTCGACATGATTCTGCAATCTGTATTTGGGGTAAAATTGGGAGTTCATAACCAACTTGATTCTAATGTATGAAATATGATATGTCAAGAGCTTTGTAATGTTTTGAACAACCAATAAAAATTAAAAATAAAAAATAAAAAAACAGATAATGACATTTTTAAATGAACCTCAAACTAAGAAGGATTCCTGGCCAAGAAAACATTTCTACTGTCTCACAATTCTTCACTCAAAATGAAACAAATATTTTATTTAGAGAAAGCTGATGGGGAACACTTACCTTTATATTATCAAATGTGTCTGTCTTTCCTGTATATTCTTAACTGCATTATTCCAGAGATTAGAGATATTTGTTTTAAACTTAAAGCATTACAAAAACATGAAGAGAACAGATCTTAGCATTCCTTTTCGTGAAGACTTAACACTAGTGGCCTCTAGAATTTTTTTTTTGAAAGTTTTCCAATATTTCAATTTTTTCCCCAACATGCAGTTGCTATAGTTATAGGGAATTTTTAATATATTGAATAATTAAATTAGTGTATGATATAATATATAATGATTTGAAAGCTATAATAAGGCTTAGTGTATATGATTCCATCCAAACCAACCATTAATATTGAGGACTTACTAAAAACTGAAAAGAGTAACAAGTCCATATGTGTTTTGAGGGCAGGTTGACTAAACTTTGGCTAACAGCAAGATAAATTGCACATTCACCTGCCCAAAAATCTACCTCTAACACTCTCCTCTCAGTCAGGCTAGGGTAGACGATAGACTCTGAGCCCTAATAATCTACCACTAAAAAGGGAAGACAAGAAAGCAATACCAAAAAAATTGTAGCTAATTATTTTTTGTCTTCTCCAGTCAACAGTATTAGAATTTAGTTTTTATCTACAATATCTAATTTGGCAATGAAATCATTGTAACAAAAAGCTACTTGTTTTGTTTTCTTCAAATTTACAGCTCCTTGAAAGTTGAGCACCTTGTTCTCTGTGACCAGGTGCATGTTGAACAAGAATAGTCATCGAATTAAAGTTTTTGCTTTCTTCCTCAATTCTTAATCTTAAGTGTATGTCAAAGTTCTTGAAGACCTTTCATTAAAGTGGAGGTAGGAAATTCAGCTCTCCTTAGACCTAAAGAGGAGTGTGTTTCATCCTTGACACAAGTATTTTAGGTAAAATGGCTGTTTCTCAGACATTGGGTTGTCTGGTAATTCATTCTTAATCACAATTTTTTAAATAATCTAAGAGGACATTTTCCCCTTAATGACTGTTAGCTACAAACTCCTTCCTTACATCCAGTGGTATTTTATAAAAGAAAATGAAAGAGACACGTGCTTTCCCTTAGGCTAGGTTGGGCAGAAATGAGCTCGATTAAAGAGGTAACTCCTGGGTACACAGATTGTGAGAGGACAGAACATTTCCCCTGGAAGTTCCTACGATGAGCCATGTTTCTTCTTGATGATAAAAGACAATTATAAGCCCAAAGCAGGGGGATATATTTGCAAACCCAGAAACCAGTAAGAATGAGCCTGTAGGGTGAAGAAGTAAGGCTAGTTATAATCGAATCATTGTGGATCTCCTGGTAATTTTGTTTGTGTGTTTTTAAAGATTTTCACTTATACCAGAAAGTAGACTATATTTATTTAACATCTAGCTCTATTTCTGTCAATATGAAAATTCACTCATAAAAAGGCAAAGCATAAACCTCAGAATTTTCAGACCAAATAAAACTATAGCTTATTTTTAAAATGGTTTAATAAAAGAAGTGAACAATAATGCCTTTAGAATCTCAAAATTTACAAAGATTTTAAGTTCTATTCCAAAATCTAGCCAGAAGCAAACTTCTGTGTCACTTGAAGTCCCTAAATGGATCTTCATGGGAAAAAAATCATAACAAATATAGCAAGAAAAGCAGGAGATAAAACCAGGCAGAAATAATACAATAATGTTTAGCTTTGCATCTTTTTTCATGTGTGACTACTCAAAGGCATAAAAGAATACAGCATCATATATATTACATATGACTGAGCTAAACAAATATATCTAGTACAATATAAATTAAATGAAATTGAAATTAATAATTATGGACAAATTTATAATGCCAAGATAAAGTTAATTTTATTAACTTAAAAATAACAAGCATTAATAATTACATTATAAATCAATTTGAATTATTAAATTTATTGTTTTTCTATGGAAAATATTATACACCACCAAAGGGAATGTACCAAAACTGGCAGAATCAAATGATGAGATTCAGGGTCATAATCGCTGCAGTTATACACAGGCCAGAGTCTATCCAGTTACTCAGTGCTGTTTACATTGCTGACCATCTACTGTCATCCTAAACAATCCTGCTATTGAAATGGAATCAAGGACCTGGAGATAGATAGCTCAGTGGTAGGGCACCTGCCTAGCCTGCACAATTCCCTGAGTTCTAGCCTCATGGTTGCAATTTTTTAAATTTAATTAATTAAATAGAATAAAATTAAAATTATATCCTACTCCCAGCTCTTTCTGAAAGGCAATGTACTCTCACTAATTAATACGTAGCTAAAAAGGGTAAATGTTCACTTACAACTTCCACACTAGCATATTAGGACATGTTAAGGGAATTATTTTAGATTCATGGCACCATATCAAATACCTAATATAATTAAAGTAGTTATTCATGAATTTCAACATCTTCTCCTAGAATGTGAAAGCCACTAAGTTACTCAGTAATGTTAATAAATCAGGATCAATAAGTAAACCTAAAGCATGAAGATTCCTGTGAAAGCCTGTGTGTTAGATGTATATATTTATATTTAAATGATATATATTATTATGCCAATTATGTATATTATACATCAACTACTTGTTATATATTTTGTTTATAGGGAAAAACAGGAAAAAAATTACTTGGAGAAAATATCTTCTGGGGATGTAGAAGTGACAGGTGGAAGAGTTGGTATGACAAACCAAGGAAAGAGTGAGTTAGTGTCTAGGTGGTGCATAGTACTTTCCTGCCTTCTGCTATTGCTAACCCACTGTACTTAGAATTCACTTTTATCCCTTTCAACAGTTAACCACCTATACTTGGATAACTGTTCTTCATATTAAATTCACCCTGTTGAAATCATGCAGGTGCTCACTGTCTCCTGATTGAATCCTGCCTGAGAAAAGTACAACAGATGCTGAAAATAGTCATTGTTAAGAAAAAAATTTAAGATGTTGGGAAATACAGGGAAACAAAGCATAAATATCAGCAAATAGAATCATAGCAGGTTATTTTTAACTTTTCTTTTAATTTTTATTTATCCATACCTACCTAATAACCTATCAATCAATCAATCTACTGAGCTATTTATCCATCTATTGTGGTTCAGATGTGGTTGTTCCCCAAGTTTCCATGTGTTGGGAGCTTGGTCGACACTATAGTTAGGTGGGAATTAATGGAAGTTTTAAGAAGTGGGGCCTAGAAGGAGGTCATTGGGTCAAAGTGCATTCAAAAGAAGTTAGAGTATTTTTCCTGGAACCCTGATTAGTCCTCAAGAGCAGACTTTCATAAAAGCCTGATTCTGGCCCCCACCCAGCCTCTTCCCCTCTGTTTTCTCCTCTTCCATGTGATCTTTCCTACTGACTTGAAGTCCTCACCAGAGCCAAACCCAAAGCCAGCTCTCTTACCTTGAACTCTCAAGAACTGAAAGTTAAATGAAAGTTTTCTTTATAAAGTTAGTCAGCCTCAGATATTTCATGATAGTGATAAAAAGTTGACTAGCACAGAAAATGGAATCAAGGGGTTCTATCATTACTACTATAACTGTAGTTTAAACTGTGGCAGCATCTTTGGAATTACCGGCAGGTTGGAAGTATGTGGAGAAGCAGTCTAAGAAAAACCTAGAGTTCTATATGCAGAGCACTATGGGCAATTCTGATGAGGGCTCAGTAGACAAAACTGGAGAATCAGTCTTAGATGGAAATGAGGACTACATTGAAAATTGGACTAAAGTGGCCCACTGTTACACGGTGGTAGAGAATTCACATACCTTGTGCCCATTCTCTAAGACTTTATGAAAGGACAGAGTTAAGAATAATGGACTATGTTGTTTGGTGGAGGTAATTTCAAAACAACAAAGCTTTCAGGTTTCAGCATAGGTAGTATTGGTTCCATTTAGTCAGATTTACATTGAGACTCAGGACCAAAAGGAAACAGAGCAGAAAGTTTTGGCCAATTTATAGCCTAGTAAGGGAAGGAACTAAAAGAAAGAATACAAGGGTGTGGCAAAAAAGGATGCTGTTGGTTGACGGAGCTCTTGCTAAAGAGATTAGCACAAATAAAAAGACGTCAAATGTTTTGCATCAAAAAAAAATATATAGGAAAGATGCCACCACATCATCTCAGCCATCTTTGACGAGGCACCTCCCTTTATGGGCACAGAGGCCTAGAAATGCAAATTGGTTTCAGAGAACTTCTACAGCAGTATTGTTTCTGGGAAAGATCCTATGACAGTCTGCACAGGCTCACTGCCTGGGACCACCTTGGGATCTGTTTTCTCTGCCTTTAACCTGGGAAACACCCCAAAGCTGTTGTTGTGGCTCACATGGGTCCAGGCACATCTCATGCAAATGACAGACCTTGGTGGCTACATGGTGCTTGTTTTGCAGGTGTTTTGAATGCAAGAATTATGGGATCACAGCAGCTTCCACTAAAATTTCTAAAAAAAAAAAAAAAAAAGCTCAGAAAAGTCAGGAAAATAATTTACCAGAGCTGGAGACCCCACAGGAAACTTCTGACTGATGCCTAGTACAGCTGTGGGAATGGAACTGAAGTGGAAGCCCTAGAAAGGTAGAGTGAGCAGCAGCAGGCAGCTCAGACTCAGGGAGATGCGAACATCATGTGTAGCCTCCCAGCTGCCATGTGGGCTACATGGGCTACCAGAACCCTGGGGCTCACTCTTTGATATCTTATATATAAGAGACCAGACTTCGAGCTTCAGGATTTAAAGTCTGCCCTACTTGTTTTTGGTCTTGCTTTTGGCTGATTACTCCTTTCTACTTCCTCACACTTATGATATGGTAATGCAAAACTGGCTAACATACTATCTAAATAACCATCTGCTTCCTTCTTATTATAAAATTATATTTTCCAAACTCTTTATGGAATTCATGCTTTTCAATGAGTACGTAGTGAGTCATCATAAAGGTAGATTTCAAATTATTTAACCCACTTTTTTCTTGTTCTTTGAAATTTACTTGGTTCCCAGTCTCTTAATCTTTAAGTGAGAAAGAGAACACTTGAAAAAGACAAATTGTAAATGTGCTAATTTATTCCAGGATAATTATTCCCCACACTCACTCTTTCTTTTTTTGAAAATCTGGCAGCAATGTGTTAGTGATAAATGTGCAGTTTTATATGGGGGAGTGAACTTCATGAGCTCTGACATCTATTTTCAGTAAGGGATAACACCAAATATATTTTTTTCTTATTTTTACAAATATCAGTTATTTAGAAATCTCATAAACTCCAGTGATTCTATAACCAAAACTGACAGTCATGAAAGTGATCGCCAACATGTTACCATGTAGCTGAGATGCTTCTATGAGAGCTTTGCAACTTTTCATGAGATGGGAACTTCTTCTTGGCCTCCATTTTATCCCCACCCCTCAACAGTGATTCATCACTGACAGCCCAGTTGTTCAGTGCTGAGAAGCCACCTTATGTTCATTCCTAGTCTTCAACAGAGACACTCCATTCAGACTTACCCTTCCAGGCTCTTTGTTTCTCTTTTGAGTTTACAACTGTAATTTCTTCATCTAAAACACAAAACAAGAGTTCAAGGCTAAGAGGATAGTCGTGTCCTTTCCTAACACTCTGGTTCTGGATTCTGCCTTAAACTCAGTAGAGTGTGTGCCTTAAATTTAAAAATGAAATCACCCAAAATTCAACAGATAGTATTGAGAACTCCAAATGTTTTCTCAAATGATTTGTATCACTTGATACAAATATCTGGATCTGAAATGAAAAGTTCAGACCTAAAAATTTCTTCTTTATTTTAATTAGGTTTTTATCTGTAATAAACAGATGCCACAATCTTCCCTTTTTCTGTGCATAGAGTTATTTGAATCTATCAAATGTTCAAGTCTATATTACTTTTTGTACTAGACAAACCACGTTATTCTACACTAACTTGTCCAGGTAATAGCAAAAAGTAATTTTTAAAGGCATATTTAGTATGATTGGATGCATTCATAGCACAGCTACAAATCTTTCAAAGTTGTTATAAACCACGCAAAACTACTTCCTTGTGACAGTTTGTTGAACATTTAAATGGAAATTGAAAAACCTAAGCTATCAATTTCAATTCAGCTAGCAATTCTACTGAGCTTAAAAATCTAAAATTCCATAGTGCTGTGAAAATACCAACTATCAAAAATATATACAATGAAATTACAATCTTTAAACAATCTACATTGTTTTCAAACATCTACCTGGCAAAACATACATTTCTTTTGTAAAATCATTTAATGTTCTACATTGTGCCATGTAATCTGGATAATTTTCAAATTACTCTTATGTTCCTCCTGAGTTTAAGATGTAGATATCTAAACATAAAATTGATCATTTCTCCTCCAGGTCTGATTCTCAGACGGGAGGTTTCCAGTCTGACACTACTCCACTGAAATTATCATGGTCACTGAGAGAAGGTAACTAATTGTCTTATTCGAACTTTCTTATACCCACTCCTGTTCTTTTCGCTTGCTTTAGCTCTTTTGGTTTCTATTAAATCCTGACTGTTAAATCCTGAATGATAAATCCTGACTCTAACCTTTGTAGCCTTTTTTTTTTGTCCTTAACAGCTCATTTTTATGTGCTTTCCTTTTCTCTTTTTGTATTCATTTTCTCCCACTTCTCTCCTTTCACTTCAAAAATAAAGCTCTAATTAAGGACTCAATTACTACTTCTATATTGAAATTTCCCAGATACATATCTTGTTGACGGAAAAGATTTTTCTTATGAAGTCTAAATCTACATGTCCAGCTGCTCACTGAGTATCACTACCTGGAAACACACGTGTTCAAATATGGACTAATGACCATTGTTTTCCTATTTCATTCACCTCCAATTCTTTGTTACTACTTAATTATGTTGGCTTATTCACTTCTAATTTTAAGTCCTTCTTTTTCACAGTCTGTCTGTATATTCCATCTGTCAGCGACCACTTCCACTTCCTCCGTGGGTTTGAGAGTGTTTCCTCTAGTGCTGTCCTCGAAGTACTGCTGAGGCCGTCCCATCTCCAGCCAGCAACACCCTGGTTAACTTCCTGACCTCATCAAAATCATCTTCCTCGCTAAAAAAAGAATCCTAAAAACACAGTGACTTGTTCCTTTTCATTTTTACAGTAGTTACTTGTTATCATCCTCCTTGAATCACAGGTACAGTATGTAGACACACAGAAAGTGTGTCCCCCAAAAGCTTATGTGGGAGACGATGCAAAAAGGGTGAAGTGATTTGTTTGTGAGAGCCTTAACGCCTTTGAGGTTTACATTTTGTCCTTGGAAAACAGAGTTCTCCTGCTCACCCCTCTGTCTCATCTCTCTGCTTTCTGGTGTCATATCCCCAGCTGCTTTCCTCTGCCATACACTTGTGCTATGATATTCTGCCACACCTTGGGCCCAGAGGAATAGTCCACCATTTAAGGACCAAGACCTCTGAAACTGTGAACAACGAATCAACTCTTCCTCCTGTAAAATTGCTCCTTAGGTCTTTTGAGTTGCAGAAAAAAAAAAGCTGACTAAAATGGAAATCATTGGTGGTATCACCAGAACTGGTCTTCTTTCTGCTCATGGATTGCCAAATATTTGATAGTGAATGCTGATAATACCCATTTGAATGTTGTCATGCAATAGGTGACAGAAACTGAAATGCTGATTCTCTGGGAATATGCTAATCTTATTCCCTATAAATCTACATTTATCATTCACTTTTATGATTCCTAAGGCTCCCCTTCACTATTTTGGTGGCATTGTTTTGAACATTTCTGGTTAGCTATCTGCACATAGCCTCCCCTAAAGCTCTAATGCTTACCTGTACCATAGCAACACAGTGTGCAGGGAGCATAATGGGAACTTGAACTCCTTCAAACAAATGTGCTATGTATTGCCTTTCAGCAAAAGTTTAACCCTTTAAGAAATCATGTGTTAATTAGAGCTGGGGTAAACATCCCTTTTCAAGATCTTCCTTTTCTTATTCTGCTGCATAAGTCAACTGTTGAGAGCCACAGTTTAGTCAGAATGAAGCCTGGGATTTTTGCCAGAGGGAATGGTTGAAAGGCGACCCTGCTCCGGGATTAAGGCGGATCCTGCTGCCTTGGGCATTTGCTACTTTGGAGTTCCTGTGGAGTTCTCTCGGGGGTTCTGAGAGAATTGGCATGTGGAGCCTGGTGGAGTGAGTGTGTTCCTGGGAAGTGTGTGTAGAGTGCCGGTGAGAGTTCTGGAATAAAGAGTTGCTGTTTGAACCTACAAGGCTGTGTGGCGGCTCGGTTATATTGTGCCCAGCCAGACTGCGGCAGTCAACCACAAAATAGCCTCAATTAGAGTCATGATTTTCTAGAGTGTTTGTTAAGCATCTACTCAGGTTTTCTACCTTATTCCATGTGTGCTACACTTTTGTGACTAAGGGGCTCAATGAGTTTGAAATTAATGACTTACTTCAAGATGTACTGAACTAAAGCCTTAGTTCCACTGGTCCTGAATAGGCCCCCCAAATGTCATCTGTGGCTTACTTGCCCCTTGAGAACTAAGTAAGACTTGATAAAATTTCCAGCTCCATTTGCTTTGGAAATCAGGATTTTTGTTAATGGGAGAGAGGGAGAGAGGGAGGAAATGGATTCACGTCCTCAGGGTCATTTCAAAGTGTTTCACTGGCTTCTCTGAGTAAATCTCTTTCCTCTTTAGTCCCTAATTTTATGTTCTTTCCTGGAAAAAAAATCCTCTCTTTTCTCATAGAGACGTAGGTTTTTATCTCAGTCTCACTATTCCTCAGTAGTTTTTCAAGATATCTTCCCAAAGAGAAGCATTTTGTTTTGGGGAAGATGCCAGATAAGAAAATAATAAATTTTCACATGTCATAACCATTTGCTTTTCACTCAACCCCAATGGTTGGAGGATGTACTTTTTAGCTCTAAAGTAGACTTCATTGAAGACACACCCTATTAGGCACCTTAAGGACAATCTTATCCAGCATCCTTGTGACTGAGAGAGAAATCACCATCCCAGGATCACCCTGTCAGCTGCTGAGGGCCATTACCAAGTAGGAATGACGCATCGAAATTTCCTTGCCAAGTGTACCCCATGCTGCTTAGAGGACATTTGATGGAACATTGCATGCATGCTTTAATAAGGTGACCTTGCTCAAGGACCAAGGCGGATTGGGGTTTAGAGCTGATCAGGTTTGAGGAAGTAACTGGCTCCTTGAGTTTAAGGCGTTGCCAGTTTAAGATAATGGGTTTTAGGGAAGTTGGAAGTTGAAGATTATTGCTGGGATTAGGGTGTTCCTGCTGCTTGTTCCCGTTGAGTTCTCGTGAGATTAAAATGGGATTTGGAGATAGCCTCGTGGAGTAGGTGGTTTGTGCGGGCAGACGGGAGAACGCGTTTGCCCCTGGACCTGTGTGGAGGTGGTGTGAGAGCTGGAATAAAGAATTGCTGTTTGAACCTACAAAGCTGTGAGTGCCTCGTGATTCTGGTGCCAAGCCGAGACATTGGCCTTGGCAGTCAGCTACTTTAAGAGCCAGACATGCAACTTGAGATTCTGCATTCTCATTCTTATTTGCCTTGACAGTGCAAATAAATGCAATTATTATTTGGGCATTATTAATTTACTTCATTTAATCAAATTATAAAGATTCAAAACAATTAAAAAATTAATATATTTTTCTTTGAATATTTAAATTAATAGTAAATACTAGGGCTGCAGATACACCTGGGTTGTAGAGTACTTGCCCACCATGATTGAGACCCTTGTTTGCTATATCCAGCACTGGAAAAAAAAACAAATAAAGGAAGTTAGTAACCACTCATCAATCACTTATTCTTATAAGTTTATATTCAAAAAGTAATTATGTATGTGCACAAATCAAAACTACTCTAAGATTTCATCTCACTCCTGTCAGAATGGCAATCATCATGAATACAAGAAACAATAAGTGTTGGTGAGAATGTGGGGGAAAAGGCACACTCATACATTGCTGGTGGCCATGCAAATTGGTGCAACCACTATAGAAAGCAGTATGGAGATTCTTCAGAAAACCTGGAATGGAACCACCATTAGACTTGGCTATCCTACTTCTCAGTTTATACCCAAAGGACTTAAAATCAGTCAATAATGCAGCCACATCAATACTTATAGCAGCTCAATTCACAATAACTAAACTATGGAACCAACGTAGGTGTCCTTCAATAGATGAATAAATTTTAAAATGTGATATGTGTATAGATAGATAGATAGATAGATAGATAGATAGATAGATTCAAAAGAATATTAAAGAAGAGTGAAATTATGGTATTTTCTAGTAAATGGATGGAGTTGAAGAATATCATGCTAAGCAAAATAAGCCTATCCCAAGTAACTGATAAACCCAACCTGATCTTTTATTAAATTGGGAGCCATCTTGCCACAAAGCCATGAAAAGCTAATTTCGGCTTTACTATAAATTACTGCAGATTCTGAACCTGCTTGGAATGCCTGCCCGTGCCTTGAACTCACCCATGCCTGGCTCTCTGACCAGATAGCAGCCCTCTCTGAAACTTTAGTGACACCTCATAAATATTGGCCTTCCCTGGCCAGACAACGACCCTCTCTGAGGCTCTAATGGTCCTCATAAATTCTGATGTTGGGGCCAGCAAAAAATGTAAACTGCCATTAGTGTGATGCTTGTCAGAGTTCTGTTATCTGTAACCCCCCTTTTGTGTAACTTTCTGGGCTATAAAGCTGGGCTGTAGGAAAGCTGGGCCTGCTGTCTTGTTCCCGCCGTTTTGGGAGGAAAAGGCAGTCCGGCCGGTCGAAATAATAAACTTGCTTTAATTTGATTTTAATTGAAGTCAGTGGTCTTTTCTTGCATCCTGGTCTAACATAACCAAGGGCTGAATTTTTTTTTTAATATGTGGATGCTAATTCACAATAAGCAAGCAGGTACTAGAGAAGAATAGTGTTACCTTAGATTAGGTAGAAGGAAGTGAAGGGAGGGGAGGGAAGGAGATGTGGAGATAGGAAACATAGTAGAATGAAACAGACATTATTACTTTATGCATATTTGTGACTACATGACCAATATGATTCTGCAACATGTACACTCAGAAAAATGAGAAATTATATCCCATCTATGAATGGATGTATCAAAGTGCATAAATGCATTCTAGTGTCATGTATAACTAATTAAAACAAAAAGATTAATAAAAATTATTACTCTTTCAAATTACACTTCTGATGGCTGCATAATAATACAATTGCTGAATTAAATTTCTTTCTCTCTCTCTCTCTCTCTCTCAGAGAGAGAGAGAGAGAGAGAGAGAGAGAGAGAGAGAGAGAGAGAATTTTTTAATATTTATTTTTTAGTTTTCGGCGGACACAACATCATTGTTTGTATGTGGTGCTGAGGATCGAACCCGGGCCCACGCATGCCAAGTGAGCGCGCTACTGCTTGAGCCCCATCCCCAGCCCCAAATTTATTTATATTTTTACTTCAATATATGTAAATCGATATCACAAAAATCTAAGACTTAGAGATGTTTAAGGAAAAGAATCCTTTGAATTAATTAGACAGGTTCATGTTTATCCTAACTTATATAATTACATTATTTACTTATTTCTAGTGGAGATAAAATTTTATTGGAATAATAACTTTAATTTGTTGCACATTCATTAAAGTAGTGCTGTATATTTTACTGCATTTCTACACTTTTATGTAAGCTAGATGTTTTCTCCTATAATTAACTAATGACACTAAAGTGCAGAGAAGTTAAATTACCCAAAGTCACAAAATCCATTGGTCTGTCTCACCCCAAAATACTTTTACCAATATAAAAATTGATACTTTTCAATTATGAATATTATTTTTATTGGTTTATATATAGGCTACTTTTCAAGGTTGCATATTAATATCTAATGAGAAAATATATTTTCTTTCAATATTCATCAATATATTCAAAAATTTTATTTAAAGTCTACTTTCTATCAGATAGCAAACTATGTGTTAAGGTTTAAATGTATCCTTAGATTTAAATAAGTATTTAAATAATTATAAAGATTTGTTTTTCTCAATTTTTTTATTTTATGAATTTTTCTCAAATTATTGCAATATTTATGAAATATATAACTT